GGTTTCTTTATAAAATGTGAGGGGTTGATGGAAAATTGTCTCCTGACAATGGAGACAAATTTACCCCCAAACTTGAATTACTAGCTCACATACTTGGATAAGCCAAGTATAGTTTATTTCTAAATATAGGGCTTTTAAAATTTTGATTTTGTATGTGATTAAAAAACAAATTTTCAAGTTTAATTTTTATAAATAAAAAAATTAAAAATTTTATTTCTAAATTTAATTTTTATTTTATGTATGAGTTTTATTGGAAATAGGAGCTTTACATACTTAAGGAAATGTATTTTGGTTATATTATTACCTTATTTAACAATAACTTTTTGAAAGGGGAATTTGGATACATTGATCTGTACACACCAAATGTCTGACATAATGGTTGTTATAATCCTGTTTTCCACACTGTTGTGTTGGAGGTTTCCTCTCTCCATAGCAGCAAGACCTACATCAGAACAAATGTGTTTGTATAACTTGGAACAATATTGTTTTTACTTTATTTGATGGTTCATTTCTCTTTTTAAACATAACTCATTTTAAATTTTAAGAAGATTTTTATTTAAACACTTTTTTTACAATATTTATGTGGCAGCAATATCTAACAAGTTTCTGCGACATGAGGTAACATTTTGATAGACTTTGCAACTCTGCCAGAAGCAGAACTCAAAATAAATGTGTTGTTTAAAGCAATCATAAAAGGAGTGTTTTTAGCACTAAGAACGTTTTCAATGCATGGTGCAATGGCTGTCTTTCTATAGATGAAAAATGAAATGAATTACCTAGAAAAAAATTGAGATATTTGTAGCAATACACATGTATTAAAAGCTGGAGAAAAATATGTTGACAGAGATGTTAAATACTTGCCAAAAAGAAAACTTTAGTTGTCTGTATGTGAAATTTCATGAATAAATCCACAGAGTAGGACCAAAAAACTAACTTGCTTTGTTCCTAAAAAGTCAATAGTGGTCTCATCTAAAAATGGTCACAGACTTCTGACTGTTATTCATCTTTTTATCATTTCAAACATTATTTTCCCTTCTAGACAATAAATTCTTAGTCAACATTTATTATTTTGTCCCCTCTAGACAATAAGGTCTATGGTATCTCACTAGGGTGATCGAGGAGTGGATTTCAGGGAGTTTGCAAACCTCTAGAAGTATTTATGTCTTGTGGCATAAAGGCATATGCACAGTTCTGGAGGGATGATGGTCTGTATCTTTTATCTTTTATCCAGTTCTCAAAGTGATATGTGACTCAATAAAAGTGAAGACCCATTGGCTGATTGTAGCAGTTCCCAAAGTAAAATATGAAGATGATTCACTTGGGTAGGTGAAAAAAATACTTCTAGTTATATTCATGCTTATTTACAAAAGAAAATATGCTATACTAATATGTAGTAAATCGATTGAGAGCAGCATATATCAGTATGTACAGTTGATGTGCTAAAATATTTGATTAATAGTGTGCTATAATCCAAAAGGTTGGAGAACATCACTCTAGATCAGTCAATATCAAGTTCTCAGATTTTTCAGGTCATCTTTAATTTACATGCAGGAGGAAGCAAAGGAACAGTAAATTCTCAAATACTAATGTATTTTCATTCATTTCAATTTTACAAGGTACAATTTATTCAGGGAAGAAGGCCACTCATTGTGATTAAACAGTGCCTGGATATCGCAAATTCCTGCATCACTGGGCCTTCTTATTCTAAAGGCACAAATTCAATGACCACTGTCACCATAACTTTCCAAAGAGCTTCGGTTTTGCTGCTCATATTCTAGATGTACAATACTTAACACAATGGACTGTTCAACATCTATAATTGTATATTTTTCTTTTTCTTTGTTTTGTTTTAGCTTTCTCTGAAACTACCTTATAGTTCTTTCGTCAATACGGATAGGTTTGGCAGCATTTCAGACTAAACAAATATCTGAGCAGATAATTTAAGATTTGGGCATTATGCAAAGTCATTTCCTGCCAAGCAATTTTCTTCACACTCTGGAAGGCTCATTTGTGATTTAATTTTCTCACATTCCATACTTGAAAAAATTTAGAAACTTAATAGGCAGCCACGATCTTATCTAAAATCTTTCACCAGAATATCTGAGATTAAGTCCTGGCTATGCCATTTAAATTTTGTCCTGATTTCTACTCAAACATTTAAATCTAAGATATTAACATTTTCATGAAACCAATGATTTATTATGATGGAAACAAATCTGCGCTGATGGTAAAAGATGTGTGGCTTTTAGAATATCACTTTTTTTTTGTTTTGCTTTGTTTTTTTTAAAATCAAAATATATGCATTAATAAAGCTTTTGCTATTTTGGGGGGCAGACCATGAATATGGGAAGAAATGGGCATAAATATGAATGTAAGGAGATAGTTTTGTATGAAAAAATGTGTGGATTATGTGGGTTAGTCAAAACAGATGCAGGAGTGGCTAAGTTAAGAGCAAAGCTGCTTCAAGAGAAATGTAAGTGGTAATAAAATGTACAATGTTTGAAATGGCTTAAAATAAGAATACCAAATCAATGCATGCCATCAATATAATAAAAGACGTACTTTTAAGTGAGCAATACTTCATAAAAAACCCAGAAGCCTACATGCAGAAAGCAGAAGAAAACTGAACTCAACAAAGACTACAAAGCACTAATGGCATGTGTTACTGTAAGCTCATGGCTTTCCCAACTGGGTCGATGGTTTCCCTTCTCACTAAAGGACACAAAGATTTCCCAAGTCTTGAAAAGTATCCCACCAAAGACTGTCCACTATAACACTGTAAATTTTGTTTGAAAATGACATTTTTGTGTTCTCTGCTTTAACAAGTCAAGCTGTCCCTGCTGTTAGCCTGTGTTTAAACAAGAGAATTGCACTTCCCTGTCGTCTCTGCAGCATTGAGTTTCTGCTTTGAAGGAGATAAGTCTCTCCTTGCAGGAACTGTGAGGCCTCTGGCACAGCCCCTTCTAATAACTGTCCTCCCACCTCTTACACATGTCACGTCCCCCATCCCTGCTCCCTTCAAGCCCACCTTCATTTAACTGTCCCAGTATACCTGTCTAAAGCGTGAAATAGCACCAAAGTGCACAATTAGGTGAAAAACTCTATGTTTTACTGTTAAGTGAAGGGTAGTATGATCTATTGATCTATATTAATATGTATCAAATAGATTCTTTTTCATTTCTTAATAATGATTTATGCAGGTCAAACCCATGTGCTTAAAACTACTGCAGTAATTCATTAACCCACTCTGTTTGGGATTGAATATGGCCTTGAAGCATCATATAGCCCTAGACTTCATTGGGGTTTTGCATGCAAAGCTCCATTTGGGCAGTTTCCCAGCTGGGTAAACTCAGGGGACTCATGTCTATTCCTCAGGCACTATTTGGAGTAGACACTCTCGTTCATTCATTTCTTTAATTTGGTAGGCCCATCCTACAACACCCTGTTCTATCCTATGCCTTCTTCTAACCTAACATAGGACAGGCCTGGGCAGGGTCTGCCTTAGTGTGACTGGCAATATCAGGGAGAAGTAATTTTGAAGAAAAATTAGTTAAAATGCTGAAGCAACTCTTCTTTCCTCCCTACCAAAGGATCTGAAGGACTAATGTCCTTGAGAGTGATATGAAATTCAGTGTCAAAAATCTGAGCTTTAAATTCATATTTTCAGTAAAATACTCAGGATATAACATTAATTTTTCCCTTTGATATGTAGGCAGATATTCATTTAGTCATCTCTGCAAATAAATATCCATCCTATCAATCTTTATCCATGCTGTTTCTGACACCGCCTTTCAAAAACACACATCTGATCATACCATTCTCTTCCTTTAAGATTTGCTGTCTCCCTTTTCTAGTAGCTTTAAAACTACTGGAGTGGGAGACAGAAACCAATGCATCTGCTTTTTTCTGTTTTGCTTTCTCTTTTCTTTTTTTCTTTGTAAGATTTATTTTGAACAAATTAAACACGCTACTAGTAATTATTATTAATTGCATATCTTTACATGACAAACAGCCCCCTCCATGATTTTTGTCCAGATGGACTTTCTGTCCTTATCTCTTCCCTGCCAACTTATCCCAGGCAACTGGCTATCCAGAATATACCATTCCCTACCCAAGCCCCACTTCCTTGGGTGTGCTAGGTCACTTGCCTGGACCATGGCCTTCCCTATCTCTGCTAGGTGAACTGTAAGTCCCCAAGAACTGAGGCCCCTACTTTGTGATTCCACAGAATTGTGTAATTGTCATATAATTGTCTTTCATTTTCCTTTTCTTGATAGAATGGTCCATATAATATCTTTAAATTTAAAAAATACAGCATTACCCTGGCACACAGTAGGCACTCAATAAATGCTTGATGAATGAATACATGAAAATGAGTAAATGAATCTATTAGTATTTATGTTTTCTTAATTCCTAAACTTGGCATTTTCTTGCAAAGTCTAGATGGATATACAAAGATACAGCAAAATGGGAAGAAACATTTTAACTCTATATCTCTCTTTGCTTCTTGATGCAAAGCATCGGTGGAAAACTTCAATACAACTTTATGTTTGCTTGAGAAATATGTATGAGGAGTAATATTTTGTGTACTTGACACAAAATAACAGGACAAGAATTCACGAATGGAAACTACATAACCCAAGCAGAAGGAATAGCTCCTGGAATTCTCAAGAGAAACAGGCTGATAGGGAAGCAGACTTGGGACCCAATCTTATTTTTTTAGAATAGGTAACTGGCAACATGGTTCAGCACCCTTCGTCTCCTACTCAGTTATAGGCCCTGTCGCTCCATTCTTTTCCCTATCCTCAGTTCTATTCCTAACCTTGGATCTCTGATTTTGGTCTCTTACTTCTTATGAGAATTTACCCTTCATGGTCTGTGTCCTAGCTACTATCAGTGGTCTGGGTCTGAAAAATGTCTCCATGATCTCTACCCTAAACCAGATAAAATAGAGAAAAAATAGACTCTTAATTTTTTTAGCATCCAAATCCAAATTGTGACTTTTTAATGCATTCTCTTGTGGGAATGTATGTCTATTTTGTTTAAAGTCCACAGAGTATTCCATCATTAACCTGCCTTTGTAGGCTGATCTGGGGAACCTATCTCAGATGATTTAATTTCTCTGGGAAAATACGTTTTTGGTAACTTTTTATTTAGATAAAATACCAAATCTATAGAAAAGTTACAGGAAAAGTACAAGGACTCCCATACAGCTTTTTATTCTGTTTATGTCCATTTCCCCCATTTGTTCTCTGTGTGTGGAGGTTTGTGTACACTAATACATCACACACATATGGAAAATATTTTTTAAATTCTAATTAAGTTATAAACTTTTAGATAACAAATTATTACCAAATTGAGGTCTGCTTAAAATATTGCTGAAGACCACATTCTATTTTATGCCTTTTAATTTTCTTTAATTTGTATTATTTCCCTATAATAAGGGTTCAGTTCCAGAAAGAAAAATGTATTTACACCTTTATTGTCCTTGTAAATAATTATTTAGGTTCATAAAATTATGACATTGTAACTATATTTTCCCAAGGCTTATGGTACTCTCTAATAATAGGGTGGGTGTTGAATGAGACACATTCAGTCCTATTCTTCATTAGGGTAACACTTAGTAAATAGTAATCATCGTAGCATCTGTAGTGGTACACTTGGGATACTGGAGGTCAATCAGCAATGACTTTTTATCCCTGAAATCACCATGGGCTAACCTGAGGACTAATGGAGACAAAACTGAGTTACTTCTCAGAACCCCAAATAAGAGTTCAGGATTTCTATGGCTCTGCTAATACTGATTTTTAAAACAATAACCTTCATCTTTTTCTTGCTTTAAAGTTGAACTCTTTTTCAAATCAAAACCTTGTCCCAAGCAAAACTCTCTAGACTTTTTAGTTTAACAGAGAACTTAGACTAACATCAACTCTTTAAAAACAATTCAAGCTCCAGAAAAAAATGTTTAGAAATTTCCATAATGAAGTCATTGCATCATTTTCTTCATCAATACTAACAGTCTCTTTTAAAAAAATGGCATTGAGATATTTCAACTAGAATTAAAATCTTCATGTACATATGCCTAATGAGACAAAAACTTGATTCTTAGTACATATACATACACCAAAATGTATATGTTCAATACAAATACTTTAAAAAATGAGCTATCAATAAAAAGAACAAGTCTTATTTTTTTACTTCTGAACTTAGATTTTCTTCTTGCAACTTGATATGGCTCAGCATGGCAATGAAAATCGTCTGCTGAAGTAGGTCCAAATTCCTCAAGTGTATATGTATATGTGCATGTTTGCAAATGTCTGGCTACTGTACTTTATGGGTCTTCTGGGAGTTTACTTTACTCTCATGGTGCTTATGGCCAAATTACATTAGAATGATATTATTGCATTTTAATACAGGTTATAAACCTCTTTTATCCTGCATATTTTGCTAGTATGATACTAAAATGCTAATATGAATTAAAATAGCCTTTACCATATATAGAATAAAAAACAATGTCAAACAAAAAGAAATATTTATTGTTATGACACATAGTGTTATGGAGAATATTTTTAACTTCAAGAACTAAAAATAATCTTTGATATTTACAGAACTATTTTATATTCGTATTGCATCTAACCCCTAATTGCTTATTTTCTAAAAAGGAAAATAGGAAGAAAGTGCAACAGAGAAAAAAAAATCTCAGCCTGTTTTCTTATATAAGCTAAACAGTTAAATGAAAAAATGTAATGAAATGCAGAGTTGAAAGGATGAAAGAGTTTATGATATCAAAGAATGTAATCTCTATTCAAAAGCTTTTTTAAGGCAACACTATCACAAACACACTTTAATAACCATGGCATTCCACCAGGGCACAAGATTGTAAGTGACTCCATCACTTTTTACAGTTGACTATAATTATCTGATATATGTACAATGTGCTGAATTTTGAGTACGGCTTATAAGTGATTGTTATATAAGAGAAAAATCCCCCAAAATGTTATCTTTTGAGGTTTCTTAAAAAAAAAAAAACAAGGAAGAGTATTGAAGGGTATTTAGACAGAAGAGTATTGAATTGAATACACTTTTGTCATGTTAAATGGAATAATGAGTAGATTGTGACTTAGCTCCTGAAATTTTAATACTGCTCTTTAGCCATCTGCAGTCCTAAAGTGCTTTCAAAGGTTCTACACATCCTAGAAGGAGTCAAACCCCAAAGACTAATGAACAGGTATACAGTTCGCTAATCTATTCCTGATGCTTTGCCTAAAAAATTGGCATTGCCATCTTCAACATCTCTTTTTTGGAACCATGGTTTTGAATTTGTTCCTTGTTGATAAGCATCTAGAAAATGACAGATTCCAGGAATTTCACTGGGGAAGTTTGGTGGAAGTTCTTCCCTTGATCGAGGGGTAAACACAAAACCAGGACAGTCTTTCAGTAATCTGAAAAGATTAAAATAAAAATATTAAAATTTAACACCGGCATAAATGTCTGCTCAAGAAAAGAAGACAACATAAGTACATGAATATTACTAAGAATATTAATAAACCAGCCATTTTAGGTGTGACTGACAGAAAAAGCCTAATGACATTAACAGACATCTTCACAGAAGTACAATGAGGAATAAATTCACAATAACAAGAAAATTCTATTAACTAATGTATTTCACTCCTGTAGGAAAAAGTAAATAATTATAAAATATCTTTGCAAAGATATAATCTACATAATAGAGCAATTCACAATAGTGAAAAAAGAAAAACCAAAATAATCCAAAGGTCTAATAATAGCAAAAAAACCCACAAATAATTACAATGGTATTAAATAAGACTTCCTAAGTTGAAAGAGACAAGATATTGTCCATTTATCAATTCATTAATTGTGCAAATATCATTGAGAAGTAGTCATGGGCAAGAAATTGTAAAAGAAAAGTAAAATGATAAAAGTGATGTGAGAAAGTATTTGAATCTTCCAAAAGAATTTTTATAAATGCTAGATTAGTAGGACTCAAATGATATTTAGCTATAAACACCAGCACTCTACTTACTGATTGTTATTAGCATTATTTTTCTTCTTAAATTCATCTCTTCTACCAAATTATATCATTTGTTATTGACTACTTGTCCATTATGCTAAATATATTTTAAATTCTAATTATACTGATTAAGTTACTGGCACCTCTTCCCTTCCTTAGCTTTCTCCCAAATGCAAACTTAATAAGCATTCTCTCTAATCTACTAGATTCTCTCTACTATTCAAGGCCATTGATGAAAAATGTTGAATAGTAATGGGCTCTTAACCAACTTCTGCAGAAATTCATTTATCATATCTGCCAAATCAGACCAGTGCCTTCTACTTACCAGTCTGTGATGTCATGTCTAAATGAAATAGAATGATGTGCTGAATTAGATTTCTGTACTGTGACAACTTCTATGGGTTGAAGGAACCAACTGAATAGAAATTTGTGTCTCAAGAGTTTCATACCTTGAGTAGAATACAATATAGTATTCAATTAACTAATTTTTACTGGTACATCAATGAATGTGTAATGTGCAAAATATTAAAACTAATGAAAATCCTAAGCTTCTGAAAGACACTTAACAAACACAGTATGTCATGGAGTTAGAAATGTTCATAAAATTCGTCTTTTAGAAAATCAGAATTTACAAGAAAGACAGAAAAACAAAACCATTTAGATGAAAGCTTGATGACCGTAACATCAAGAAAGGCAGCAACATTCTAGATGTCCTCACATGGTGGACATTTTTTCTACTGCCTTTTGATGGGACCCCATTTGCCCCAAATTATTGCATCAAGTCTCCTGTTTTCTGTTATGTCTCTTATATTACTTTATTCACTTTGTTCTTTCTTATAAAATTCAAGTCCTGGTTCTCTAGCACTATGTTCTTAGACATCTATAAATGAGAGTTCCTGGGTCTATTCATTCACCCTACACTGGGCAGCATCGTGTATATTCCCCAGCTGCCATGTTTGTTTTTATTGATCCCTGAATCACCACATAAGCCTCTATCTTCCCTGAATTTTTAACAATATATAATGTAGTATTTTACTTGTTTTCCTTACTTCAAAAAAAGCAAACAAAAATACAGAATACTGCCCTCTAAAATAAAACACCTTACAACATTTAAAAGAAAATAATGCATAATTGTCATTACAATCCTACATTCTGAATCACTGATTAGAATTTAGACATGGAAATCTGAAGATAAGGAATTTTTTTTTTTTTTGGTGTAGGTATGTATCTTGTGTCTGAAATTTACATAGGTTTCATAAATATATTGAGGAAGATACATTTAATGGCAAACATTATTATTATTATTATTATTATTTTGAGACAGAGTCTCACTCTGTTGCCCGGGCAAGAGTGCCATGGCATCAGCCTAGTTCACAGCAACCTTAAACTCCTGGGCTCAGGCACTCCTCCTGCCTTAGCCTCCCAAGGAGCTGGGACTATAGGCATGTGCCACCATGCCCAGATAATTTTTTTCTATATATTTTTAGTTGGCCAATTAATTTTTTTCTATTTTTAGTAGAGACAGCGTCTCGCTCTTGCTCAGGCTGGTTTCGAATTCTTGACCTTGAGTGATCCCCTCGCCTTGTCCTCCCAGAGTGCTAGGATTACAGGCATGAGCCACCACACCTGACCGTAAACATTATTTTATTAAGAGACAAATGCCATTCCAGAATTCAATGTATTGCCAGTAAAGCTCCCCAAAGAAACAATTGCCTTTTATATTTGTACATCTTCTATTGGCATCTACTGCTTGTCCTGAACTTAGAGTAAAACTAAAATTATGTCCCCATCATTAATTAAATTTTAAAAAGCATGGATGTTTGATTGAAATATAAATTGTCTATACCCTTTTAAGTTTTCCCATCATACAGAAAAAAATGAAGTACCTCTAAAAGAGAGGATTTTAAAATGTTCTTAAAAGTATTTCATATTATTTATTTCCTGCCTAAATAGAACATATTAACTACTGCTTGCCCTTTAGTCAAGACATAAATATCTCATCTATGAAAATAAACAAATTATTATTAAAATCAATATGAAAGAGATAAAGCTGTATCATATATGTCTATGAAAAGTAGAAATTACTTTTGCAAATGTGCTGAAGTTCAAATGAAGTAAAATTTCAATATCATTCACATATGTGCACATAAACATAACTAAGAAAAAATGAAAAATACAAAAATGTTAATACTTATTATCTCTGGATAGTGAGGTTATGAGTTATTTTTATTTTATAAATTTCTGATTTTATAAATTTTCTAAAATGTTACTATTATAATCAAAAATATATTTTATTTTAAAAAACCACTATCTATGGTATAAAAACCTATATGTGCATTTCTAATAATATTGCCAAAACAGTGAATCTAAGATTTAAGTCATAAGCTTTGGCCTGTTGTTGGAAATGTATTTTAACAAGTCATGATCCTCTGTTGAAATACCTGAGTTTCTGAATTATATTTGGGGAATAAAAGGAGTAGTTAGTATCAATGTCTTCAAACATGACTCAAGACCACCAGACTTAAAGATATGGAACAGAAGATTTTTTAAAAACTTCAGTTTTATACTGCTTAAAAACAATCAAAATAAAAAGGAAACAGAAAAATATGCTTTTATATAGAGAGATTTTGTTTTAAGGTAGAGATACACACTCTATCTTTCTCTTTATTTGGTTGGTCCTGATTTGTACCCTTTATTTATTTATTTATTTTTTGAGACAGAGTCTCGCTTTGTTGCCCAGGCTAGAGTGAGTGCTGTGGCGTCAGCCTAGCTCACAGCAACCTCAAACTCCTGGGCTCAAGCAATCCTGCCGCCCCAGCCTCCCGAGTAACTGGGACTACAGGCATGTGCCATCATGCCCGGCTCATTTTTTCTATATATATTAGTGGGCCAATTAATTTCTTTCTATTTATAGTAGAGACGGGGTCTCGCTCTTGCTCAGGCTGGTTTTGAACTCTTGACCTCAAGCAATCCGCCCGCCTCGGCCTCCCAGAGTGCTAGGACTACAGGCGTGAGCCACTGCGCCCGGCCAATTTGTACTCTTTATAATTGAACCTTAATAATAGTATAGTGTTTTCCTGAGTACTGTGAGTCATTTTAGCTAATTATCTAACTATAAGGGGTCGTGGGAACCCCAAAATTTGTAGCCAATCGGTCAGATATGCTGATGATGGAGGGATCTGTGAAGGTGGTTGGCATCTAAATTAAAGGCAATCTTGTTGGGTACCACGCCCTATAACTTGCAGTTATGACTGTGCTAACTCTGGGTGGTTAGTGCCAGAATTGCACTGCAGTACACCAGCTGATGTCAGAACACCTATCAACCTAAGAGCATTAAACACACACATTTAAAATACACACATTTAAGAATGACGGAGTGATATGTGAGTCTGCCAACGATTACAGCTGGACTACAGATACCTCAGGAGAGTCGTTCTCATGAGGCTAATAAGTAGTTTGCAGAAAGACTTAAAGTGGGGATGATAAAAGTTATTACTTTGCTTTTTCTTTTAAGATTAAATAAAAAAAGTGATGGAGAATGAATCAAATGAATGGGAAAATGGCAATTTTGTATAAGTAAAAACAATAGATGGCAGGGTTTAATGCAATTAATACCTGTAAGTTGTTGGACTGACATTGATTTTCCGTGGTACACTGCAGGACTCAAACTTGTTAGCCAGAGTGACATTGTTTCCGAAAAGACAGTAACGTGGCATTTTAACTCCAACAACTCCAGCAAAGACTGATCCAGAATGCAATCCAATTCGCATCTGAAAGCAAAGAATAACACAATGTTCTCAGCCCCTGGTAAAACACTTCTCACTTGTCAGTGTTGTTTGAATGTTGTCTAAATTATTTTACCATTCGCCCTCACCATACCACTCCTTTCCTCAAAACTCCAGCCAGCTTCCTCCTACTCCACACATGCAATTAAAAATTACTAGTGCAGAATCAGCAGTCATACCTCATAACTCTCCTCCATTTATGCAGCTAGGTTCATTACACAAACTATCTTTATTGTGCCTGTCTTTGGTATCTGAAACAAATTTCCATGCACAACTATCACAGTCACCACAGCAACACAACAAAGAGTCCATGAGCTTTTTATGTGAACCTGCTCTGTCCATCAAGCAAGACTGACATAATTTCTGGACTTCAGGAGTCATTTCCCACAACACTGATGGAGAAGGGCAGGTGAAGTTAGCTATAAGGATATAAATGTGTTTTTTAGACATTTTGCCTTGAAATAGCTTTTTGCCAAACATTATCCCAATGTTCAAATGACTAACAACTGGGTTAAGAAAATTGTAATATTTAAACAGAAAATAACAGAGAAAGGAGAAAGCCCAGTTGCTTAGATCTAGATTTCCCTGACTACATACACTAAGCTAAAAATGTGGACCCAAGGAAAACCAAAGTTGTACCATGCTTACCTATAACAGGCAATCTTATAGGTGTGTTGGAGCAAAAGTTTAGGAATCCTGAAAGTTATCAATGATTTGTAGAGCCATTGAGACAGAATATTTTAAAATAAGATCTTCTAGAAGATTTAATTACTTGATTAAAGGGTGCATAAATTCTTAAATTACTGCTACCACAAAGCAAGTCAATGTACTGATATTTTAACTGACAATTAGACATCATATTCATTATTTTCAAGTTCTATGTTTAGTTGACCATTTAAAAAAGTTTTATTAGATATAAACATTTTGAACAAAGGCCAAGTACTCAGTAACTTAGATATAATTTAGAAATCAGAAGACTCCAGTTCTACATAGTTTTATGGCTAATTTCAGATACCTGCTAGAAACTTTTCAGAGTTGTTAGCTTTTACGATGTTATAACATGAATGCCACAAATTTTTGAATAAAAATACTAGATTATGAATCTGGAGATTTGCATTCTAAACCAAACTTGGCCAGTAACTAGCAATTTGACTTTCTATAAGTCTCTTTTCTTTCTTCTTATTATTTTTTCAGCTATAAAATACAGGGTTGTATTATTGTTAAAGTCCTTTCTTCATCAGAGTTTTACCTTAAGAAGTAAAACTTAGATGTATATTATATCTTGCATTTTCTTCTTTAGGATAATATGATTTTATACATATAACAATTATACAATATTCAAAAAAAGAAGTCGAGCATTTTTTCCAAATATTTGTTGGCCATTTGTCTACTTTCTTTTGAAAAACTTCTGTTCATGTCTTCTGCCCACTTTTAATGGGGTTGGTTTTTTTCTTGCTGATTTGAGTTCTTTGTAGATTCTGGATATTAGACCTTTATCAGATGTATAGTTTGTGAATATTTTCTCCCATTCTATAGGTTGTCTATTAACTCTGTTGATTACTTCCTTTGCTATGCAGAAGCTTTTTAATTTTATTAAGTCTCATTTATTTATTTTTGTTGTTGCTGTATTTGTCTCTGGGGTCTTAGTCATAAATCCTTCGCCTAGGACGATGTGGAGAAAAAATTTCCCTATGTTTTCTTCTAGAATTTTAATGGTTTAATTTCTTACATTTAGGTCTTTTATCCATCTTGAATTAACTTTTGTATACAGTGAGAGATAGGGGTCCTGTTTCATTCTTCTGTGTGTGGCTATCTAGTTTTCCCAGGACCATTCCTTTCCCTAGTGTACACTGTTGTCTGCTTTGTCAAAGATCAGTTGGTTGTAGGTAGATGACTTTATTTCTGGGTTCTATATTCTGTTCCATTGGTCTATGTCTCTAATTTTGTACTAGTACCATGCTGTTTTGGTTAATATAGCCTTGTAGTATAATTTGAAGTCAGATAATGTGATGCCTCCAGATTTATTCTTTTTGCTTAAGATTGCTTTAGCTATTTGAGCTCTTTTTTTTGATCCAAATGAGGCATAAAATTACTTTTTCTAGATCTGTGAGGTAGGAAATTGATATTTTGATGGGGATTGTGTTGAATCTGTAAATTGTTTTAGGCAGTATGGATATTTTCACTAATCATCAGGGAAATGCAAATTAAAGCCACAATGAGATGCCATTTTATCCCTATCAGAATGGCCATTAATAAAAAGTCAAAAAACAATGGGATGACAACAGAATTAAAAAATGCTGGCATGGATACAGAGAGATAGGAATGCTTATACACAGTTGGTAGGAGTGCAAATTAATACAGCCTCTATAGAAAATGGTATGGATATTCCTCAAAGAAATATATGTAGACTTATCATTCAATCCAGTAATCCCACTGCTGAGTACCTACCCAAAGGAAAAGAAGTCATTTTATCAAAAAGACACCTGCACTGGAATGTTTATCACAGCACAATTCACAATTACAAAGATGTGGAATCAACCTATGTGCCCATCAATTCATGAGTGGATAAAGAAAATGTGATACACACACACACACCATGGAGTACTACTCATTCATAAAAAGGAATGAAATAATGTATTTTGCAGCAACTTGGATGGAACTGGAGACCATTATCCTAAGTGGAGTATCTTAGGAATGGAAAAACAAACAGCACATGTACTCTTTAAAAATTGGGAGCTAAACAATGGGCACACATGGGCACAAACAGATGCAGAGGACATTGGAAATCAAGAAGGGGGGAGGAGGGAGGGATGAGAGGTGAAAGGTAAAAATTTACCTATGGAAATCCATACCATGCTCATGGATCGGCAGACTCAACATCATTATAATGTCTATACTACCCAAACTAATCTACAGATTCAATGCAATACCTATTAAAATCCCATCATCATTCTTCACAGATATAGAAAAAATAATTTTACGCTTCGTATGGAACCAAAGAAGACCCCACATATCAAAAGCAATTCTAGGCAACAAAAACAAAATGGGAAGTATTAATATGCCAGATATCAAACTATACTACAAAGCTGTAGTAATTAAATCAATCAGGTATTGGCACAAAAATAGGAATATTGACCAGTGGAACAGATCTGAGAATCCTGATATAAAACCATCCTCATATAGCCATCTAATCTTTGACAAAGCAGACAAAAACATACGCTGGGGAAAATAATCCCTTTTCAATAAATGGTGCTGGGAAAACTGGATAGCCACTTGTAAAACGCTAAAACAGGACCCACACCTTTCACCTCTCACAAAAATCAACTCACGCTGGATAACAGACTTAAACCTAAGGTATGAAACTATTAGAATTCTAGAGGAAAATGTTGAAAACACTGTCCTAGACATTGGCCTAGGCAAAGAGTTTATGAAGAAGTCCCCAAAGGCAATCACAGCAGCAACAAAAATAAATAAATGGGACATAATCAAACTACAAAGCTTCTGCACAGCCAAAGAAACAGTCATGAAAGTAAACAGACAACCTACAGAATGGAGAAAATTTTTGCATCCTACGCATCTGATAAGGGGCTGATAACTAGAATATACTTAGAACTCACGAAAATCAGCAAGAAAAAAACAAATAACCCTATTCAAAAGTGGGCAAAAACTTGAACAGAAACTTTTCTAAAGAAGACAGAAGAATGGCCAACAAACATATGAAAAAATGCTCAACATCTCTAATCATCAAGGAAATGCAAATGAAAACCACAATGAGATATCACTTAACTCCAGTGAGAATGGCCTTTATCAAAAAGTCCCCAACCAATAAATGCTGGTGTGGATACGGAGAGAGAGGAACACTCCTACACTGCTGGTGGGACTGCAAACTAGTTCAACCTCTGTGGAAAGCAATATAGAGATACCTTAAAGCAATACAAGTGGATCTACCATTTGATCCAGCAATCCCATTACTGGGCATCTACCTAAAAGATCCAATGACACTCTACAAAAAAGACACCTGCACTCGAATGTTTATAGCAGCACAATTAATAATTGCAAGGCTGTGGAAACAGCCCAACTGCCCATCAATCCAAGAGTGGATTAATCAAATGTGGTATATGTATACATGGAGTACTATTCAGCTCTAAGAAACAATGGTGATATAGCACATCTTGTATTTTCCTGGTTAGAGCTGGAACTCATACTACTAAGTGAAGTATCCCAAGAATGGAAAAGCAAGCACCACATATACTCACCAGCAAACTGGTACTAACTGAGCAGCACCTAAGTGGACACATAGGAACTACACTAATTGGGCATTGGGCAGGTGGGAGCGGGGCCGGGGGCGGATATATACACACATAATGAGTGAGATGTGCACCGTCTGGGGGATGGTCACGCTGGAAACTCAGACTTGTGGGGGGAGGAGGGGAAAGGGCATTTTTTTAAACCTTAAAATTTGTACCCCCATAATATACCAAAATAATTTAAAAAAATTACCTATTGGGTACAATGAACACTATTTTAGAGATGAGCACACTGAAAGCCCTGACTTAAGCCTATACAAGGCATCTATATAACAAAAACATTTGTATCCCCTTAATATTTGAAATAAAAAAATTTTTAAGAGTTTTTAGAAAGGTGAATAAAGAGTATCTTCTGCCCATAAATATTAGCCACAACTTTACCACATTTAGATTGAAAAGTTTTTGCCCTCTTTGGGGGTACGTCTGGTTAAATGGTTTCTCTCTATGTATGTACTTAGTTATTTTAGCTTTTTATATGAGAAATTTACCATGTCATTTTTTTTATCTTTTATATTTCATAATTAATATGTAAATACATTCTTCTCCTAAAATTCCAAACAACACAGATAAAGCAGATGACCCATGGATTCCATCTGTGCAGCTCTCCCTACATCCCCTTCTCCAGCTCTGAATCTCACTCTTAGGCCCAAAGTTTTCTTATCAGAGAGCTCTTCAGATTCATGAGCAAGAAAATGATCCAAAGTTTAAGGTACACATCGTGCCCCGAACACATCTCTTTTCACTGGTAACAGACTTCCATGTGCAACAATAAAAGACAAAGACAGAATTCTGGCTCTCAGTAAAAGTTTGAACAGGAGCCTGCTGCAGGCATCTTCTATTTGGGGACTACTTTTGGCATAGCCCATTTCTTATCATAGGCTTCCAGGAATAGGACAGGAGGTGACAGACAGAAGTTTGTTTCTGTGTTCGCTCACCACTTAACTTTCACTGTCACATTCAGCCCTCTGGTCTCTGTCACCAATCTACCTGCAGTTTTCCAAGCCCGACTGAATGGATGTCAGTGAGGAAATCAATGGGAATAAGTGAGTAGACGAATGATTTGCCTATGTGACATGATGGGGGAAAGGATAGAGTTTGCAAAGGAAAAAAGGGATTATTTTCTATTGTTTCACTTAGGTTCTATCCTAAGTGAAACAAGAGGAAGCAAGACAAGAAGGAGAAAAAGCCTGGGCTTTGAAGCCAGGTGGACATGACTCTGCATCCTGACACATAAGAGACTTGACTGCTCTTGTCGCTCCGTGAGCTGTGAATTCCCCTTCATACTGGTGTTATAAGGAGTAAATGAGACGATGTTTAAGTCATAATATGTTCCCTTCTCATATACGTTAATGCTTCTCCATTTACTAAAAACACTCTCCATTTTGCCACCGCGATGTTTCACAGGTAGCTCTTAAGGCCATCAGATATTTCCCAGGACTGTAGGTTAGTACATATAAAAAGGTATGATTAATGTCACACTTAACAGGTTATTAAAGCTAACCTATTATTACTCAGGTAACTATGAATAATTCTTCCAATTGCAAGAATCTAAAAATACATTTCTATAAATAACAAAAATCATGCCACTAATTCCTTCACCCCAACATATACATCTTAATTACAAAATCAATTTATGTAGAAATTACTGGTCTTATGTTAATCATTAACTTATATTAATAGGCTGGATAGTTTTACTATTTACTTTAATGCTATGAATTCCCTCACATGAATTAGAATAAAAAAAGAAATACATAATTCCCTTCTAAAAATATAATTATGGAAATTAAGTCTCAAAAAGTCAGATATTTTGGTATTTTTAATAGTCCGCTGCAAATTATGTCACATTCTTCCTATTGAGACATAGCGTCTATTCCCCTTCTCCTCTGGACAGCCTTACAATTTCTCTGACCAATAGAATATAGTGGAAATGTCAACATTTGTCTTCCAATATTAGGTTATAAAAGCCCAGGCAGCTTCCACCAATCTTGTTTAGTGGGACACAAGCCATCATGTAAGAAATGTGACTACTCTGAGACTGTCATATTGGAGCACCACTTGGGCTGACAATCTCAGCTGAGCCCAACCTTTCAGCCATCCCCACCAAAGAACCACGCATGTAAGTGAGGCAGCCATCTTACAATGGATCCTCCAGCTCTGAGTACTGCAATTCCAACACATCCACACATCCACAACCACTGAGTATTTCCAGGCACTGTGAAGAAATGACAGGGCATCCCTTCTATGCCTTATGCAAATTTTTGATACACAGAACCCATGCATGATAAAAGGTTTGTGGTTTTACACCACTAAATTTAGGGACATATGCTACACACAACAACATATACATGGTTTGACAACAGAGTTAAAAAATAGTTATGAAGGCTTAGACATATGGTTTCTATTATGGTTAAAGAGAGCCAAGGCTAACCCTCTAAATATCATAGTTTGTTTACAAAATGTTTTTCTCTTTCTCATGTATATATTTGATAGCATACCAGGTAAGATTCTACATTACTTCAAAGGCCTATTTCAGAAGGTCATCAATTGAGGAGTGTTCTATAAAAATTTGGTGGCAGATTCACTACAAGGGGGACAAATAAAGGTAATCTGCTCATGCTCTATTCATTAAATCAGTGCCTAGCATGTTAACTTTATTTTCTCATCTGCGAGAAGACATCACTCTGGGATCTGTTCATCTGGAAATTTTGGAATGATATGTGCAGTGGAAAATATTGGTGGAGTAACAGTTAACACCCATTTGAGTGTAATGTTCTCTCCTGCAGGGGCTGAAAAACTGAAAACTACACTTTCCAAATTAACTTGCAGCTTCTAAATGCATTCAGGTTTGGTGAATCAGATGCACTTGCATGAGATTTGGAAAGTCTGATTTTTGCTATTACTGCACATCTTTTGCACAATTGTGGAAGCCTTTGTGTTTTCTATGGCACACTTAGCAGACAGTCCATTTCCCAGTCACTTGTCTTGCAATGGTCATGATGCAAAATCACCATCTTGCTGTAGGTGCACTTTTTTTTTCCCGTAGCCAGCAGTAAACACGGTAGTTTACGGATTGTGACTGTGGTGTTCTGGAATCCGCTGCCAGATAGGGAAAAAGCAGTGGATCTGAAGTGTTGTGTTAGGAGGCATTTTTTGAAAGATGGCTTCTTCTGTCCTCTCAATGAATTTGGAAGCCATTTAATATCCCATAGTAAATTTATTCCTGCTTAAACAAGTTAGAGGAGATTGTGTTCTCTGCAACTAAACCCCAGCTGATACACCGTTCTTTTGATAATCAGCTAATATGCATTTGTTCCCATGACATCTACTGGACAATACATCTTCTGCCTTACCTTGATAGGTTCTCCATGGGGAGACATGACCTCATTAGAGAGTTCCATCATCTTCAGGGCCATCAGTGCTATCTGAACGGCATGGGTATCACTCTCTTTGTGCAATCCCCCGGCTACACAATATGCATCGCCAATGGTCTCCACCTGGACATAATAGAGTTTCCACATTATAACAAAAAGCTCAGGAAGAATCACAACCTACAGCAAATAGCAGAAATTAAAACTCATATAACAGAAATCTCAGTGCTCAGTCCCCATGGAGAATCAGGGTCAATCAGACTCCCTCAGAAAAGGTGAAATTCACAAAACTTAGACGCCTTACATCGAGGCACTGCACTGAGAGACAGCAGAGTCCTGTGAACACTCTATAAGGTGGCTTCTACTCCCAAATGTGCCACTGGCTCTTCATATCATTTAGCCTCTTTTTTTCCCCCTATGATGTAAAATAGTTTTTGTAGGGACAAGTGATATATTTTTGAATTAAAAGAAATTGCCTAAAGATATTGGGATCATTTACTCATTTTATATCCTCCTCATAAAACAGTGTTTTGCATGAAGTCACTATTCAATAAATGTCATCTGAATGTGGTAAAAATGTGCGGTGTAAAACCAAGATATTAACAGTTATAAGAGCAAAAGAGACGTGGCTTTTCTAAAGGACTCTCGGGGTTCTTATAGCAATTATCAAGTGTCTACATGAATATTAATTGCAAAGTATAGAAGCCAAGATGTTGAACCAGGAGATAAAAACAATGATATTATTTGTAAGGCTATTGGAAATCAAGCTATTATCTAAAACTCAAGTATTAATATTATTATTATCACCATTATTTTTATTGTTACAGGAAATTTTTATCTGTGATACTGGCTACAGAAAGTAAATAGTTAGTTTACATCTACAAATAATCCCCCTAATTCTAATAGCTGCATTTTTCTTCTCCTCTAAATATCTATTGTAACTTATAAGATCATATTACTCTTCTTACCAAAAGTCTCCATTGTGAAAGGATGAAGAAAGGAAAAAAAAGAAAAGAGGAGCAAACCTTCAGAAATTCTTCATCATACACTCAGAGTAAATGCTGACACCCTTATAATGTCTCCCAAGTTCTTCTTGACCTGTCTTCCTGCCAATCTCTGACCTTATCTCCTCATCTTCCATCTAGCTCCAATTGTTCCAATAGCACTGGCCGGCTATTATCCCTCAAACATCCCGAACATGCTCTTGTTTGCTCTTCTTTTGCCTGGAACAACCTCTCTCCAAATAACCACATGGCTTTGTCCCTCATTACCTTCAGTCCCTGCTAAAACCTTACCTTATTAGGTAGCCCTATCACCCCTTATCTTCTGCACCTCTTCCCCTGAGCCTGCTTTATTTGCCGTCTAGAATAATAGTACACCAACTGCAATACTGTATGTTTACTCATTTGTTTATTGCCTTTCTTCCTCCCAATACGATGTAAGCTCTCTGAGTTTGTCTATTTTATTAACTCGTATATCGCCAGTGGCCAGTAATGAATAAAGCAGACAGAAATGTCCCACCCATAAGCTTCTCCTCGGCAGTGAGTACATGATAAGTGCTCATCATGATGGCTATCATGGGTTCTCAATAAGTACACTAAGTAGGAGAAGATCTGCCTCCACCCATACGTGGTGTTACGGGCCTCTTCTTTCTGCTGTTGGATAATACACACTTGGGCAGAAGCAGGCATCCATCCATCCTGTCATATGGAAATCTGGCATTTGTCCTTTCCACCCTCCTTTCTCTCTCCACCCCCGTGTGAACTCTCCTCACAGCAACTGTACCCTCTACCTCTGTCTCCACTGCCCACCCATGCTGGCAAATGCTGGACAACCAGTAAATATTTGCTAAAGCAATGGGTAAATGAACACAGAAATAAACAGAGAAGTAGTTAAAAGATTGAAAGACAGAAAGAAAATAAAATTAAGTAAAGCTCTGGTACAATCATGTCCTAGAATAAATAAGGTTGACTCTTCCTTGGAAGCTGTCACACTCATAAGTCTGCCTATGATTATGCATTTTGCATATCTGAAGTATACTCCTTGCTTAAGATCCTTCCTTATTTGTGGTCAGCTATCTCCAGGTATTTTCATGCAAAATGAGAAGTGAAGAGAAGGTGAGAATGAGGACTGGGAGATAAGGTGATTTGTTATTTTAACTCCAACTATAGTTGGATTAATCAACTGCTGTCCTCATACTAAGGAGCATAGCTTCAAAATACTTGATAGGATATTTGGTAACTATACTCTATACCCTTGATAGAAATAACCACAAGTAGAGGAGGGCTACTTCTATTAGCAATAACAGCAGTTTGCAAAGGAGAAAAAGACTTCCTTCTCACAATCCTAAGAGGAGACATTTTCAAGTTAGAAAATGTCTACAAATAAATGGAGTGGATTCCACAAGAGGCCATCAAACTTAACCTAACTGAAGCCAATTATTTTATCTGTAATTATACATAGACCTCTTTTTTCCCCAAGGGAATCATAGCTCTGTCTGGAATTTCCTGTTAGAAATTTCAAAAAGGAAGGTTTTACTTCTAGCAACCAGAACAAAACAGGCAAGGGCTAACGTGTTCCCATTAATAATATTTGTTTCCTCTTCAATAATTTATTTATTTCATGTTGGGTTAAGCCTCTGGAATGTTAGATTATTATGTGGCAAATTAAGGAGATGATTGAAGCCATATAAATGAGAAACATGCTTTGATTCTTAGTGCCAATATCTAAAACAAGGGAAAATGATTTAAATCAGTAAAAACTATTTTAATTCTAAAGAAGCAGGTAGAACTTGAAGTCTCTTTACTAGCTCTCTAACTAATTTTTGCTCTCTAACTAATTTAAAAATCTAACTAGCTCTCTAACTAATTTAAAAAATATGCCCAATATGTTAAAAAAAAATTCATGTTAGGTATATGTCACTGCTGTATCCCTAGAGCCTAAAATGATGCTCCCAATCCATCAAGGATGCTTAATGAATGACATATATTATCTACCACAGTCTTTATAACAGTCCTGCTCATGAAGATTTCAAGACATAATGTGCATATAAACTCTGTGGGTGGATATTATTTTCTCTGTTTTAGAAATAATGAGAAAGTTAAATTTCTTAGTTTACAAGGCAAGTGAGATAGAAAACAAGATTTTAAGATTTCCCTGTGTAACATTCCCTGTATAAGTCATAGCTTGAATTATCTCATGCTTAATAATTCAACTTAGTTTCCACAGAGATGTGGCAGGACCTATCCTCTCTCCTTTCTCTGCTCATTTTTTGGGAAGACAATGTAGCAGTCCTTTCATGGAACAATTATCTCTGTTTTCTAGCAGATTCAGAGCTATTTTTGGCTGGAGAACACCCACATAATTAATTTACAATGCCTGCTCCCAGGATGTGGCTTGCAGCACCCTGCAGAGAAGGCCTTTCACTTGCATTATAATTCAGGACCAAGGCACAGTACTTCCCTGCCTCCACACAGCCCACCGCCACCCCAGTGACTTTGGTAGGTCAAAGGGTCATTGTTCTGCTCCACTCCTACCTTGTAGACATCCAGCTCTCCGCACTGCTGGTCAAAGCGAGTGTAGAGTGCATTGAGCATGGTGATGACCTGCAGCGGTGAGCACTGGGAGCAGATGGCAGTGAACCCGACAATGTCCGAGAACAGCATGGTGACATTACTGAACTTTTTGGCTTGCACAACTTGCCCTTGCCACAGCTGCTGAGCAACCTCAGAGGGAAATATGGAGCAGAGAAGATCTACTGTCTTTTTCTTCTCCTCCTCCAGGGCTTGGTGGGCTTGCTCCAGGGTGGCCTTCAGCTTCCCCAGCCTCTTCTTCAGACCATCTTGAGCTCGGGCTTGTTCCCCTATCAAGACCACATCCCGCAGTGCGTTGTGGATTGGTATGTCTGACAGGTAGAGCCCTCGTCCTGTAAAATCTTCTAATCTGTCTACACAGGGTGAGCCCAAGAACAAGATTGCACTGGATTCGACAATGTAGATCATTTGGCCTTTAAGGTCCATAACCTGTGAGGCAAAGGAAAACCCAACTGTGGTGTATTCAAGTTTTCAACATCATTCTGACATAAAAGGAGAGGAAGTAGATACAGTGACAATCGCTTTGTGTTTAAACTCTATTTTTTTCAATCTACTAGAAAAGAACAGGATGTTTCCTTATAGTTCCAATTTGCAATGAATTTAAAATGCATGTAGACATTTGAACAACTTACTGCAGTATACTCTACACAGAAATCATGATTTACAGTGAACAATGCAAAAAATTCTTGCTTCAAAGCTTTCTCACTAAGTAGTATGCTGATACTTTTGCTACTACATTCTTTTCATATTCTCATTTGGTTAATCTGAAGCTATATTTTTTGAAAAATGTTATACTCATGAAATTGTATCCTTCCTTCCTTTTTTCTTTCCCCCCTCTTTCCCTCTCTCCCTTCTTTCCCTCCCTTTTTATTTTCTTCTTCATTTTTCTTTCTTTCTTTTTTTTTTTTTTGTAAGAATCTCTCCTGTTTTAGCATGCTTCTTTTTTCTTCCCTTCTTCTCCCATGAGCTACTTGTTCCATCTGGCAGGTATAGAAGTTAAAAAGACTCTAAAGGTAAGACTTTTGTTAGAATGTCTTGTTTGTCTGTCATGAATAGCCCATCGAGCTATTTTTGGAAGTCATTATTTTTTCAGAGACTTCTGCATGAGGTATCTGAATCTTATAAGAAAGGCTACCTCCTTACTTCTACTTTGCCTTAAGTACCTAACCAACCCTGTCCTGTAGGACACAAACAGAAGAACAAACCAGCCAACAGAAAGGACTGTACCCAGGGGTCCTTGAGAGAGGTGGGACTTATTCAAGTGGTTGTCCAGAATCACAAGATTTACTTCCATGTGGGTAGACAAATATGTACATGTGTGTTCACTACAGCAAAAAGTCAAAAGCAACCCAAAGGGCCTTCAGTAAGGGAATGGTTAAGTAAAGTAGAGCACAACCATACATTGGAATATCACTCAGCCTCAGAAATAGTGAAATAAACTTATATCCAACGATGTAAAAGGATGCCCAAAACACATTGTTCAGTGATAAAAGAAGTTGTAAAATAGTATTTTTTTGTTGTAAACAAAAATGTATATAATTAAAGTTTTTCATTTTTTGCTGCAATGGACATCTTTAAGTATAACTCATTTTTTAAACATTCAGATATATGATTTTTATGATAGAAAAATAATAATAAAACTGTTTTGCACTTGGAGGAACCAATAGTGCTTCTGCTTGGGGTTACAGTGACTAAAGCCTCTCTCTCTTAGCTTTACTTATACTACCAACTATGAGTTAGCAAACTTTCTTTCCTGAGACTAATTAATTATCAAAGTTCTCTACCCTGAGATGACAGAATATTTTTGCACGCCCACATTCTGTAACAATTAAATTATTTTTCTATGTCTATTAAATATTGATTAAAAATCCATTTAGTTGCCTAGTATAAAAAAAGTCGTTTTTTGTTAATTGTAGAACAATACCACTTATTATTTGAACTAAGCTATTTGATAATTGAAAACATTTTACATAAACAATTCTCTAATTTAGTTATAAAATACTCAATAAGGATTTTAAGAGGCACACTGCATTCAATAAATATCTGTGAAGTAATGAATCAAGTAAGCAAGTAAATGGATGCAGAAAGAATTTTTTTTTAATTCCAGTCTTAAAATTATTTTAGAGTTGTTTTAGACATAAATATTTTATCAGAGCATTTCAAGTGCTGCATGTTCTTACCTTTTTGTTTCTAGTCCTTAGATATGAAATAATTTCTTTCATATTCAAGAGAATAGCATGTTTTCCTTACCCTGGAAGATTTCTTCACAGAGTTGTCCCATCTCCTCGCACGCACAACAAATTGCATATTCAACATGGTCATGATCCCGCTAAACGTCTGGTTGATTTTTGGAGTCAGAATTTCAAAGTATTCTTCAAAATTAGGCTTTCCTTGAAAGTCTCTTCTGTTCATCAGTCGTCTAATGCCATTGCCAAACTGCAGGATCGTCATGTCTCTGTCGAACATGAAATGGAACGGAAATGTCTTGCAGAAGAGAGACGCGGGGATCACCAGGGAGGACTGGGGCTTGCTGGGGGACAGGGACGGTTTGGTGCTTTTCACGTGAACAGAGTAGAGCAAGAAGGGCTGATTGACAAACTCCCCGCAATCCTTGTGGAAGCAGGGAGGCACCAGCGACACTTTGACTTCGGTCTCGTACAATACGCGGGCAGCTGCCTTAATGATGCCTGGAAGAATCAGGGAGGTGGTTCTCTTAGGGAAGAAATAATAAACGTTGAGGAAATCCTGATCTTTATCCAGGCACAGAATGGAGGCGTCCTCCAGCCTGCCCCTCTTGCCCGCTTCTTGGCAATGGCTGCTCTGTTTCAGAAGGGTGCTGAAGCTATTTAAAAAATCTTTCAGGGTGCCTCCAACCACGCCGAGGATGTGCTCATCTTCCTCATAACATATTTTAAAAAGCTCTTCACCGAGAGATTCTTTGATGATCTCCACTGGAACTCCTGAAAACATACAAATACATTTTCTGCCATATCAAATATGCCACCGTGGTAGAACTGTGCTGTCACTCCTGTTTTGGGAGCTGTGTTATTGGTTGATTTAATTCTCTTTATATCTGGTAATATGAGTCTTAACCAAAATCAAACGCCTATATTCAAATTGTCCACATAGATTAGCTTCTAAAATTCTGACAGCCCTGAATAAAAATCCCCAATATGTTAATTAAAAGAAGAATGACCAATTGAGTGTAATATATAACCTTAAACTTAACTTTAACAGAACAATTAGAATTCCAGGATTAAGTCCAGTTCAGAAAAAGTCCTCCTATCTTTCTACTAACAACGAAAGCAATACATCTTCGGGAAGGGGCTCTCCCCCTCAGAGAGCATCCAGATATTGGAATTACTTTAAAATCACTGATCATGAAGTTCAATTTTGTCTAGAGATGATTTTAAAGAATTTTTTTTTTCTGAGTAAAACAGCATTTTTGTTGTTTAGCATGACCTGAATATTTACTTAGAATATATTATTTACTTTCTATAGCTTCTCCTTCTATCACCTCCTTTAGTTTTTATATTCTGTGCACCACATTTTTCTCATGTGTAAAGTAGGAGAAACAATAGTGCCCCTTCCATAGCACTGTTGTGATGTGTGGGGATTATGTTTAGAATAGCACGTGGCTCCTAGGAAGGGCTCAATGGAAGTTAGTTGTTTTTATCATTATTATAATTTTTAACATTTTTTACTTTTAGAAAGATGGAACCTCTTGGTCTGTGTATTCAAACTTTGGAAAGGACAGGAAGACCAAATGACTCATCTAATTTTTCCCCAAAACTTATTAATGTGAGAGCATTAACCTTTTTCCCTATAATTGCTTCCAAACTTTAAAAACACTCTTTATTTTCATTTTAGTTTGTTGAGTATAATTTTTTATGCATAAATGAGGAACAGTTAGATTCAAGACCAAAGCCTGTGAATATCTGTAAGTCAGCTTCTCAGTTTCTCAGCAAGCAAACATAAAAAGAGAAAATGTTTTATATCAAAGAAAAATATAGCATGAAAAATAGTTATTCTTTACATTAACACAGTATTGAACACTTCATACTGGGAGTCACCAACAAATACATAAGAATATTTTTGGAGAAAATATTAGTTATATAGTTATAGGATATACTTCTTAATTACATATACTTAACTTTGTTACCTGCTGCAATTGCTTGGTCTGCGATTATTTTTTCAAAGTCTTCTCTTTCCAAAGAGTTCCTAGAAATATTTCAATATCTTAAATTACAAACTCATAAATGAATGCTAAAACTTCATATTATAATATACAGAAATAATGACAGAAAATATATGATCTTTTCTGTAGAGGCAAATCTTGACTATCAAGTTTACAGGAAAGGAGCAATGACATGCACAATCCAAAACAATGCTGGAAAGCCCCAAAATATACACAACATAGAGTATATGGACTGTTTTATCATTCTTTATGAAGTATATTTTCCTATTAAATAAACTTTACATAGGCTAATACAGATGATCTCCAATTTACGATTTTTCAACTTTAAGATGATGTGAAAGTGATAAGCATTCAGTAGACACTGTACTTTCAGTTTTGATTTTTGATTTTCCTCCCGACTAGCGGTTTGTGGTATGATACTCTCTTGTGATACTAGACAGCGGCATGGAACCAAAGCTCCCAGACAGCCACAAGATCAGAGAATAAGCAACCAATAGTCTACAATGCATTGTGTTGCAAGATGATTTTGCTCAGCTGTAGGCTAATGTTTAAGTGATCTGAGCGCATTTAAGTTAGGCTAGGCTAAGCTATGATATTCAGTAGATTAAATGCATTAAATGCATTCTTGACTTACATTTCCAATTCATGATGGCTTTATCAAGATGTAACCCCTGTAGGTTGAGGAGCACCTGTGCTAACGAGAACCTGCACTGCCTAGCAGCCAAGAGTGTGCAGTGGCCAAGGAAAAGGATGGTAATTAATTAGCCCAGGGGTTTACTGATAGCTTAACCAAGAAGAAAAATCTACATAGAGATGGATTTCACTTTTAAGTAATACCATTTTTTATAAAGCAAATACATATTATTTCTTGTTTTTACATTTAAGGTTCTTGATATTTATCTCTCAGACATCATTATATTAAACCTTTGTATAAAAAGTTGCTATTGTATGAAAAATTAATAAAATAAATCTATTCAATTACTGCATTTGTTTCTGTAGCACAGAAGTTGATAACAGCATATATTTTGATTGACAGAAGTTTTCTGTAATTTCAACTGGACAACTTTTTGATTCATATTTGCCTAATTGTTTTTTGATGATTGTTTTGATAATGACCAAATTTGCCAAATTACTCGAACATATTAAAAGTTATCCAAGGTTCTATTTGTGGTTCAATTTGCCATTAGCCCAGTAAGTTTAAAAACAGGATACAACTAAAATTTTAAGCAGATTTCAGTAAAACATGGTACATGTTGAAAAATTTCAGAAGAAATATTTTCAAGAAGGAAAATTGCTCAGTTTACCACTTTATCACATAAAGGTATATTGCTCAAAACTACTTAACCATGCCTATATAAAGGTATGTATGCTTCAAAATATTTAAAATGCTAGGTAGAAATATTTTCTTGTTTAAGTTGGTTGGGGATCCTTATACAATATTATATCAATTTGGGATCTAGAGATTTCCAAGTATCTTTTTATATATTTCTCTCTATTGACCAATCTTTAGATTTGCTTCTTTAGCTTATTTAAGCAACTTCAATTTTACTTTTCTAAAGAATGGCAGCAAATCTGCTCAGAGAACTCAGGCCCATGCTTCTATTTCCCAGCACCCATTTCATGAGATGTGAGCAAAAAATTTAGCTAGTCCAAATAGCGCATAGTGCAATTCAAACTATGTTCTCCACCCTTACCTTCAAAAAATACCAACAGGCATAAGCACGACATATATAATAGCAAATGCATGTGTGCACCACACGCATAGACACACACACACACACATACACACACATCACAAAAGCCATGAGTTCACACACATGATGATGTGATCAAAAAAGAAACTAAGCAAAAGCTTTCTGATCAACCAATTCAGAGAGATATGATGACTATACTAAAACTCATTCACTAAAACAAAAAAAAGGAAGGCGGGTGGAGGCTCTAGTCATTCAATCAAGGAGAGTTTATTGTTTGGTATATTGGTTTTTTTGTTTTTCAAGTCACAGAAGATAATAAGTAGCACAAAAAGGGTTAAAATGTGTTCAGCATTTGGCAAGTTGAGAGCCCTAGAGACAGCTGCTGACTGGGGAACAAGAAAGTGAAGGAAAAACACAGAATCAAAGAGGATGCTCAGGAACTAAGAAAAGCAAAGCAGAGTGGAGCCATTTAGCATATCAGCGGGTAGTCTTAGGATGAAAAATCTTACTTCAACAACTAAATAGTTATCACTAGCATAATCAGCTTTTTTTTTCATTTAAGAAATTAGGGAAGTGGTAAAAGATCTTTCGAAATTTCCAAATGTGATGATTATTGTTTGCCTAACTTTTAAGATCTTTTTAAAGATCTAAAAACACTGTTGGGAACACATCCTAACTGAATATCTGCATGAAGCTGCAGGAACATTTCAGAACACAAAGCCCTGAGAGTAAATTTTGAGTAAACTGTCTGCCAAGGACTTCAGCAGACAGACACAGTAGCACAGCTAGAATGACTCGGGGCTGCCTTATCAGCTTGACTGAGAATTAAGGTCAGAGGCGTTCTGGAATGCTTTCATACTGCTCCTGCACACAAAGCTTCCATCAGACACATAGATTCACACTCTCTCCTTCTGCACCCGCCCATGACCCCTTCCTGGGGTGGCCCTGCTGCCTGCAGTCTGCCAGCAATTAGTCAGCAAGGGAAACCAAGCACAGATAATCCACAGGGCAGACTACTGACTCTCAAGTACAAGACAGATGAATGAACTTATAAAACTTTCCTGACAATTTATAAAACCTTCTTGACAAAACTTGACTGCTCAATTCTGCAAATTTGAACTCAAGTATTTATTCTGTTATTTACAAATTAAATAATCCTTGAGATTTCAGGGAATCAAAAACAGGGCCTCTTAAACTGTCTACCAGCAGTAAATGTGCTAAGTTATATTTGAAAAGTTAACTATACAAATCAGATTTTTTTAAAAATTAGAACTTTATATTAAATCTCTTCAGAAACCTTTTTAAAGACAATTTCTAAGAATACAAGGAAACAGGTATAAACAGAACTGATATTCACCAGTGCAACCTAACTGGTTAGGAAAATACTGAAACATTTCCCTAAGGATTAATAAATAGCTGCTGCTCCAAGGGCCCTGGATCCCTTTCTCTTCCCCGCCTTGATCCTTCTCCCTCTTCCTGACATAGCTGCTAAAGTTTTAGCATGTTGAAGTGTATGTTCTGGAGATGGGGTGCCCGCTGAGACCCTGCTGGGACCTTTGGCCACGTCCTTCAGGCAAGTGGTCTGTTCTGATTGTTTGGTATCCATGCCATATCTTTTGTTAAATATTTTAGAAATTATACTTTAGTATGAAAGAACAGGCTTTATGAGAGCTTGCTAAAAACGGCAGCATACAGTAATATGCTTTAAATCACGGGCTCTGAAAAACCCAGGCTTCAACCCCAGCTCTGTTTTTTCCTAAACAGCTATAAAATCCTAAACCCTAGTCATCTGTAAAATGTGAAAAATAAATGTACTTACTTTCAAATTAGTAGCAGTTAAAAGGTTTCTGGCATACCATAATGACTCAATGAAGGCTGATATATTCTAGAAGTCTTGGCTGTTAGTAGCAGTGGTAGTAATGGTAACAGAAGGTTCAGACAACTGAAGAGGTTTGACTTACCTGCTTTCTTTTATTTTATGCTTTGCCAATGTTCTCTGAAGTGCGAGGTTCAGCCGTTCAAACTGAAAATTGAAAAGAAATGTTTTAAGTATTCTCTGAACTAATGATCTATTTAAAAATAAGCGTTTGATAAATTCATCCTATTTCTTTTGAAGAAACAGAAACATTATTACTTGAATGATGAGCACTGTTAATTTACACTTTGCAAACAAGGACTGATTTTTCTATGGGTTTTTCAAACTTGAGAAGAAACAACGAGCTTAGACTCATTTGAGTTTGGATGTGTGTTCTGGCCACAGGCTTTGCCTTTGCTGGTGGTCTCCCTGCCAGTCACAAAACAGCCAAGCTAAGTCTGAATCCAAACAGAAGACTGCAATTTGGTAATGTCAGGTCTTCTATAATATAGGAATCTGTGGGCATCACTTCCTCTGGGTCAGGAAATCTCCTTAGATGAGCTGCCAATATTGCAATCTGAGTAGGACTCAAGCCAAGCAAGTTCCTGTTCCTTTCACAAACTCCACACCCAACCATCCCAGTGACCCTCTGGCTTAACTACACATTCATATTTATGTTTCATATCTCTCAGTCCAGAAAATTCTGGAGTTATCTCCATCTCAACTTTTTTTTAAATTACTTAAATCTAATATATCACCAAAGTCAGTTGATCGTTTACTCCAAACAAGTCTTGGGTTTAGCTTAACTTGTACCGATTTCCTTTCTTTTCAACTAATAATATAGTCATAGTTTTACTATCTTTTATTGACTTCTGAGTATTTCATTAGTTTTCCAATTTTACAAGGTCTTTGTATGAAGTCTCCATACTTAAATGATACTTTTTGACTACCATTCTCTCTTTACAACTGTTTGTTTCTAATTAATTGATAAGTGGGAAGCAGAGCATTGATAAGCAGTGCTATAAATTATTTTAGCATTCCGTATAAAAATCGTACATATCTATGTGTGTTTATGTAACTGTTGATTCTTTCTGTAGCTTACCCAGAGGAAAATGAAGAATTTTTTGGCTACATTCCAGGTTGAGAAATTCCTTTTTCCCTAAGAACTATTTATATCTCTTGTAAAGTTTCCACCAGTCAAGTGAGGCAGTGGAGTTAAACAAAATAGAGCAAGATTCTGTTTTAATGAAATGAGTTATGAAAAGGGCTTTAGCGTTAAAAGCACCTACAAAGCTTGGAAAGGAAATTTAAAATTAATTGAAAGAAAAGGCAATTGCTGAAAAGAAATAAAAAAAGAATTTAAATTAACAATGTAGACCAATTTTTTTAACCCTTCAAGGATAGGGAGGAAGGATACATCTGCCACAGGATGAAAGGAAGGCCGGCAGGAGACATACCCAGAGAGCAAATTCTCAGCAGGTCCTAGTAGGTTGTACGTAAGGGCAAAGGGCAGGAAGCCTGGTTGGTATGGAACATGTTCAGGAAGGAAATATGGGCATGTTTCTTAGTAGTCTTTCACATCAAAGAAATAAGAAGATAATATTAAATTGGCAAGACTGTAAATGAAGTAGATCAACCAGGGTGCTTGAAATTTTTAAATTTCTCAAGAGCCGTGTATTTGGTACAGTAGAAAGTTACTCTGAGATTACTAGTACCAGAGCATTTGTGTAGATACAAATCCATGAAACCTTAGGTGGCTGTGACTTATTAATTCCTGCAAAAAATATTGACGTATGAAAAGGGGTCATGAATAAATTGAGAGTTTCTGCCTTTTTGTGTGAGCTCTGTTTTCCTTCATAGTATTTGCTACCCAACTTTAAAAATTTTTCATTATCTGTTTCCTCCACTAAAATAGGAACTCCAAAAGGGCAAGAAGTGTCTGTTTCGTTTACCTCCGTATGTCCAGAACCCATTACATAACCTGCCCACAGAAGACGTTCAATACATATTTATTGAATTAATGAATGAGTGGAATTTCCCTGTCAGCTATTCAAAGTCTTGAAGGCTGAATCTATAAAAACTTATCAGTGAAGTGATAGAGCCAAGTACAGAGGTGTTGCTCTCTTAGCTTGTTTACAAACAAATTCAGGTTGTTTCCAACGTAAAATAATTTGAATTACATTTGTTTATATATGAATTGCTGTTCTGACCAATAATTTTTGATGCACATGGGGAAAGAAAATCCAAACAGTTCTGCCACTGAAGATTGTTTCCTTCTCCCTCTCCAGTGCTACTGAAGATATTCTCTTCCTCTTCACCTTTCTGATTAAACCATCAGGTACAGTCTTTTATCCTTTTCAGTCAAGATTCTTCTCGGTCTTTCATTTCCTTCCCACTGTTACCAGGAACATTTTTTTTCTGGTCCTTTCTTCCTAACATATATGCTGTCATTGTAGGAGGGGAGGAGAAATAGTCCCCTTCCCATTGCTGGGGTTGGTGGAGCAAATGTACTCCTGACTTTCTATTTTGAACCAGAACTTATCTGCCTAAAGAAAAAAAGGGTTGAAATTTTAGCAAAGCATTTGTAGCACACTTTAGTGATATTATAGGTTAAGAGACATTTGTGGGAATCTCATCTTATATCTTTGCTTTTCTGGAAAACTGTTGTAAGTTCAAAACAAAATCCACAAGGGACCAAACCCAGAAGCTATATAGGCAAAACATTTATCAGTAATGGCTGTTGGTGCATAGAGTTTCCTACTTTGGTGCTGTACTTCCTATGATATATCCTGAGCCCAGACTTTGAGATAACAAGAGTCCACAATAAAGTCATAGGTAGGACTCAACTTTAAGTGACACCTGTCACACATAGCCAACCTCAGGGCCTCATGACACAAAATCAAACACTGCAGGACTGCTCCATATCCCAGCAATTCTATCTATCCATTTTTAGCTTAGTATGGTATTTTAGAATTAAATCCAATATTTTCTTCCAAATTTTTTCCTTACAATTAGATACATATAAATATTTTATATCAGTGTTCTGTAAGTCTTTCAGTTGCTCAGCACTAAAAGCCCCATATATATATATTTGGAAAAGCCATTTTGAATTTTGAAAGAACAGGTTCTCTTATATCTACAATTCTTGGAATCTGAAGTATTGTGGATCATAGAATTTCTGATTCACAGTGGGAGCACCTGCCCCTAAAAGTGAACATTTTTTATTGCTCTCAAGTTTGTTTCTCTTGACTGAACAATTGCCTTTTGTCTTTAAAATAGATAAAAAATAGATATGTATTAAATTGTTAAAACAAGTATTTTTGTCATGAATATACCATATACGAATACTTCAGGAATAATTGCTATTTGCTATAACATTGCTGTGAACACTATGAATTCTGATGGATGAAATTTCATTGGTATGGGTTATGGATAAGTTACTATTTCCATTGTTGTTTTCTTGTTTTTGTTTGTTAGAGACAGGGTCTCATTCTGATGCTTAGGTTGGAGTGAGGTGGCATAATCATAGCTCATGGTAACCTTGATCCCTGAGCTCAAATGATCTTTCAGCTTCAGCCTCCTGAGTAGACACCATGTGCATCTAAGGTTTTTAACTTTTCTATAGTTTTTAATGTTTTCCTAGACAAAGGATATTTTAATTCGTAAGGATAAATTGCAATACTCTTTTTGTTTTTTTCTTCTTGCAATCCAATACTCTGGAACACATCTAGAGACCTCGTGATTCTCTTTGGATCCTCTTATTCTCACTAGCTCTTTGATTTGGGGTAATATCATTTATGTAAGCATGTCCAATTCAATTGATTCAATTCAGTAAGTGGGTTCTGATTTGCTACAACTGTGGTTAATACTCTATTACAAGCTGCTTATAGACACTATGCACGAGGAGCTTATAGGATTATTGGGGAGCAATAACCATGAAAAAAGTGCAAACGATATTATAGTAGAATGAGCCATGGATTATGAATAAAATGCAGGGAGTTTCTCATTTCTCCAGTTATCATTTTTACTATAAGCAAGTGATCTAACTTTATGTGCCTTGATGTCGTCAAATAGAAATGAAAACATTGCATTAGATATTAAGAAGACCTCTGTAAGTTCTAATAACCACTAGTCTGAACTAACATCTCACATTTTAAATTTGCTAAGGAAAATACATTTTAATTCTTGCCCCTTCCCTAATAAAAATATTATCAGGAAGCTAAATCTAATTATCTAAAATAAAAACTATGATATCAAATAATATTTTGAGCCTTTTTCTTTGGATTTTTAATAGAACTGAAACTAAATAGTAATCTAAACATTAAACCTGTCAACTTAAAAAAGAATCAGTAAAAAATGACAGGTATTTATCAAAGATAAGTAGATATTTGGACATTTGATGAAATCATCTAAATTGATTACTATACAGTTCAAATGTAGTCAACATAGGACCATTTACTGTCATAAAGCGATAGCCTCAGATGGAGAAGAGCTCTAGTCATTCATGCCAAACATATCCCATCTACCTCCTGTAGCCTTGCCCTCTCTGCTACATGACACTATAGTCAAATCTTGATGATTATTCTTATAAGCTAATGAACAAACAACAGATTATTCTAAATTTGAAATATATTTTATATTTATATATATCTATAATTAAATTTATATTTGATATCGCATCCTGGCCTCTCAAAACACTCTCCTAAAGAAAAGGAAAGGGCAGCTTATAGCAGCCTGCATGGCTCTTCAAGATTGGGAGGAGGCACAGAACCCTGAAACTTCTCCTCTGGCAGGGAGGGAGAGGAATGGAAAATGCACATCCATAGAAAAGGTTTCAGAGGCTACCAGAATCTTCAGCTGGGCCCACTGGTGAAGGTCTTTCCCTGTCAAAGCCAGTCCATAAAGTGGTTGCTTATTCAAATGTACAGACACTGGCACGAAGCCACAAGAAACAGGTAGAATCAGGGAAATATGACATGACCAAAGGGACAAAATGAATCTCTAAGTAACTGACCCTAAAGAAATGAAGAACTATGAAGTGCCTGACAAATAATTCAAAATAAAGAAACTCAGTGAACTGCAATAGAACACAAATAGACAACTAAATTAAATCAGGAAAACTATATATAAACAAATGAGAATATCAACAAAGAGATAACAACCACAAAAAAGAACCAAACAGAAATTCTGGAATGGAAGAATAACTAAACTGAAAAATTCAAATAGAGAACTTCAATAGCAGACTTGATTGAGCAGAAGAATCAGCAAACTCAAAGACAGGTCATTTGAAATTATCTGGTCAATGAAGCAAAAAGCAAAAAGAATGAAAAAGTGAAGAAAGCCTGTGGGACTTCTGGGATGCCATCAAGTGAACCGGATGTTATAAAAAGAGAGTCCAATATGTGCAAGCCTTCTATCATTGGACTTCAAAATTTACCAAACAAAATAATGAAGCCAATATGGTAATGGCCAGAGTCAGGGAAAGCATGGAAGCTATCCAGCTTCTTCATCATCACCATCTGTTCATTTCTGTGCCTCGCACTCTTTCCTTAGAAATGAGAGGTCCAATTGTTTCCCAGACTGTGATGCAAACCAACTCCCTGAGACAGGCTGCATCCCTCCTCCCTTCCAAAGCTTGCTGTCTATTGACTGGAGTGGGGTGAGAATAATTAAATATTTCAATTTCAAAGTTCATTAACCAAATTACTATTGCGATAATATTTTCTCTAAAATAAACTCCCCCAACTTTCTGCTAGTGGTAATTTATCCATCCTTCAAGCTTCATTCCAAGTCTCTTCTTTCTCAATCACTCCAGCCTGTATTGTTTACAGCAGTAATTAATTGCTCTACCCTTGGAAGGCTGTGTGACTTTGATTAAGTCACTTAACTTCCCAAGCACTTTCTGGGAGTGAAATAAGATTACCTCTGAAATTGCATTCGCTTCTAAAAGTCAATGAGTCTGTGGTTCTTCAGTGCTTTGAGAAAAGTACAGGGTTGGTGATGAGTCAATTAAAAATTATCGATGTATTTTGATAACTGGAATCTGATAAAATGATTCAACCTCATAGGTCAGGTGAATTTACATAAAACTGTGAACATTTACAGAGGTAGGAAGACATGAGGACTTTCAACTGCTCTTTAATCCTGCAGAGGGGAGAGGAGCTCTCTACATAACCCCTCTACTCATCAGATATTTTATCTGTTTAGGTATATGTCCTGTTCCCAGAGTTTCCTTAAAGGTGGATTGACAGAAGATGCTCCAGATCTCAAAATGACACTATGCAAAGCAGGCTGCAGGGCCATAAGAAGAAGTGTCAGAGATAACAGCACATAGATGTAGGCAATCTCAGGCTCATGACTCTGACCTAAGGGAGCAGGCCAAGCCTGGCTTCAGCAGAGATTTCTTATTCAGAGCCAGAAGCCAAGGGAGATTTTCACACCTCTGCAAATTGGCAGGGAACACATGATGCTCTTTGCTACTAAGAGAGGAAGACCAAGAGGAAAGTAAGTTATTCTTTGAAGAATTTAATTTTACAATAGTAGTTAACAACTATCTATTACTTAAGGTATGGGATGAGCTATGGATGGCTTCACTTAATACTCATTAAAAATCTAGGGGGCAGGTACTATTATTATTTCCCTTTTACAGATAAACAAGCTTAGGCTAAGGGGGATTAAGCCAGTTGCCAAAGTCATAAAGTTTGTCAGAGTGCAGGATCCTTTTGAAAAGAATTCAAGATCTTAAACATTTTAAGATTCAACACAACTTAAGAACACGATTGAAGTAAGAGAATGTTTTTCTACATTTATTATAGCCTTGAAAGTGAGAAAGCAAGTGTTTAAATTTTCCTTAGCGAAATGTTTTTTTTTTTTTTTTACTATTTCAAAATATTAGAATCTCTAAAGTGCAAGCACTCACCTCTGGGAAAATCAGTTTGCAAATACTCTCCGCCAAAGTGTGAAGATAGACTCTGCTCCTACTGGTCTTTCTTTGAGGAAGACTTTCTTGCATATTCTTCTCAGGAATGTCTTGACAGATGGGCGGAGTTGCTTTGCAGCTCTCTGAGCTTCCTGCTACCTCCTCTGCTGACTCTTTAGGAACCTGCCCTGGCGCCAGTAAGGAGAAAGGACACTCCCCTGTGATCTTGAGATCCTTGAGCTTCGTGCAGAACATGGTGTCGCTGGTGCTCACGCTGCTCTGATCTCCTGATGCGCTGTTGTTCTTACGTGGGACCCAAATTCCTCCAAGAAGCCACTATCAATAACTGGGATGTCTATGGGCATCAAAAAGTCAGAAGAGAAAGAGGAGTGACTTTATACGCTGATGTAATTAATGTGTACATTTACGTACATATTTATGATTTAATATATGTGCATTTCAGTATACTAATAAATATATATTATATTAGTAAAATACTTGCTTTTAATATTTTAACGCTTTTCAAATAAAATGTATTTTTTCACAATGTCCTTGGTGTGAACTACTGATTTCCATTTTATATAACCCATTTGGTCCAGTTTAATTTAGGCTTAGGGTTAATTTCACTCTTGTGAAATTAAACACCATGGTTTTATGACAGAAGTCAAGTCTAAATCTATGTTTTATTAATGAAAGTACTACTACATTCTCATTATGCTGTCCTTTCTGAAAAATCAGAATTGTATAAACCAATGTTTCCAAAATATCTAAAGGAAATAATATATATAATGGTGCCCATGTATAGGTTTTCAGATTTGAAGCATTGACTTTTAGATGAAAAAAAAGTCAATGAAAATTATTGTTGCAAAAGAGAACATTTATTGCTATAAATATTAAATAGAAATGTAATTTTAAAATATTATTATCGAAATCCCCAAAGAAATCTTTATCCCTATGAACATACCATGGGATTTGCTGGGATCTCTGGATCTGAATCTAGACAACACTGGGATAAACCAAGAATGCCTCTCTTCCCACAGAAATCATATTCCAACATATTTTCCCTTGTGCTTTTGTTTTTGTTGATGGGATTGTAAATCCTCACACAATTTACAACCCATTTATCATTAGTTATTTGTCACTGGAACTGTCTGGTTGTGAATTCAGCCTATCAACAATATTAATGATCTTGATTATTAATCAGTCCACCAACTTGGTCCATCAACTATTGCCTACTATTGGAAAAGAAAAGAAAACACACAAAAGAAGTAGAAATGAATCCATATTTACTAATCCCCTACTGTATGTCTGACACAGTGCCGGGAACTCTATATTTATAATTAATCTTCACAGCAACCATATGGTACAGATATTATTATCCCTAATGGGCCAGAGGCCCAAAAGTTTAGGTCATTTTCTCTCATTCGAAATGCTAGAAAATGACAGAAAAGGGGTTCAAATATAGATCACTATGACGACAGAGCCAATGTGTTTTCTATAACCCTGAACTCATATTACCAAGTTAGACCAGTTTCTACATAATCATGCTTAGTTTATAAATTGGGATTAGTTTATTTTGCAAATATGATTTATAACTTTACACTGAAATCCAATCAAGAAAATAAATCTGCTCTTTGGCTGATGATATTTGAATTATCTAAGATACAGTCTTACATTTTAATCTCCAGAACTGGAGTTCAATTATTTTTTTCTTTTCTATGCTTCACAATGCCCTTAATATGTTCCTAATATGTATCAGCAACAGCCTGTAAGTTGTCACAGGTAGGTCATCTGAGTTTAGAACAATGATGATTCGTTTTCTGAAGCTGAATTCAACCTCTGTCATGCCTGGAGGTGGCATGGGACATTAGGTACAGAAGAAGATTACAGATGCTGACAGGCCAGAAGCAGTTGCCAGTACTCTCTGTTACCTAAAGTTATATCTGTGATCATATGTAATAAATGAATCTTCAAGAGAGTACAAAGGAAGATCCTATATATTCATGAGCAGAAACCATATTCTGCCAGAGGAAAATGGGAGCTGTCTATCTCAACAATCTACTGAAGTGACCCAAAGGTAATATGCCAATAGAGGAAATGTTTACTTGAATTCTAAAAGACCTAAAAATCTAAGGATTTTAAGAATCCACGTTTCTTATAGGATTTAATTTAATATCTGTTTTTCAGTCCTTACTACATCTCATCATAACTCTAATTATTGTTCTGATTTATGGTTTAAATCAGTGATCAATAAACATTTTTGTAATGGTTTTCAGCTATGCAAGCTATATGGTCTCTGTTGCAACTACTAAACTCTACCACTGCAGCATGAAGGCAGCTATAGATGACATGCAAACGAAGGGGCATGGATGTGTGCTAATACTACCTTATTTGCACAGGCTGTGAATATAGCCCAGGAGTTCGTTGACCCCTCATTGAAAAGACTGAGTACATGTACTGGAGCATTTTGATTCAAATGTAATTTTGACTATAGGGCCAGAGTTATTTCCTCATCCTCTCTACCCTCACCTCTCTCCAAAAATAGCAGCCTATGTGGACCTAGTTTTTTTTTTACAACTTAAATGTAATCAAAGAGAATTTGCAGATAATATTAACTGACCATTTATAAAAATATAATACCATTATTTTATATTAATTTTCAGGAAGTAGAGTTGTATTAACCAAATGCCACTATTTCAGTTACATCAAAATATAACTATAATAACTAGCAGTACTAAAAAGAAAAAAGAAAACCCAAAAAATGGAAGACAATAAGAAATAGAAAATTATAGGTTGGATCTGACAAAGGCATAGAACGGCTTCCTAAAATAAGTTATTCACATTAGAATTTTAGTATTGAATTTAGAAGTTTGATATAATATAGCTTATTAAGTCCTTCCATTAAATTTAATCTCTTTTATTCACACTGGAATTCAACCTTGGTACTCAAACACGATATTTTAATTCTCATCTTCCAACTCAATCTGGCTACAGCAGGATACAAATGACCAGCTAACCTTCCTTGAGATCCTTTCTTTTCCTGTATTGCACAGTACTACAATTTCCAGAAAATGTGTTGAGCACTGTTTTTTATTAAAGTAAAAACAGCAACAGGAAACAAGTTGTGCTTACTTCAAGATCAGTAGAGTGTTTAGTATCATTAAATCACATACGTATAAACAAACTAATTAGCATTCTTCATCTGTTCAACTGATGAAATTACACTATGAAACAGATGCACACAGTGCTGATACCTTGGAAACCTATGTTTGTCTTGCCTTTGCCTGCCAGGAATACAGAATATGTTCTTCAGCTAAACTAGTGATGGATTTTATGGGTAACGTTAGCAGTAACTTCAGAAATGGTTTGGTCACTTGATGAATTCAGTACATAGCTGGTGGTAGTAATGGTAGGAACATGGTAAGGGGAAAACAAATAAATTAAAATAATAAATTCGGTGACAGGCCTTGGCAAGCAGGGGTATAATATGTTCTCAGAAACTTGAAGAGGTACTTGCCATCCCCCAAAGTTGATGATTAAACAGTTTCCAGCTATACTGAATGCTGGCTCCCTTTTACTAGTGAGTGATTAACTTCGCTGTGGTGAGAATAATGACCCAGCTACTGGCCCAGTATTAATAACCAGGACATATTATTGTTCAGGGAAGGTGGCCCTCTAGCATTTAAACTCTAGGATTTAATTAAGCATGAACACCTTGTTTACTACATGTAACAAGGTCATGTAGACCTGAGGAAAACACCCTTTCAGTACTCTTTGACACAAAAAAGCCTCTTTTACAACAGCAGGTCTAAAAGAGTAGATTATCAAGTTAACAATGGCAAGAAGGGGCAAGCCTAAGAATTGTCTCCATAGTAAAAACAAAGAGCTATATCTGACCTCTAATATCACACTAGGACCTTGACATGCCAATATCTGTGATTAAAAAGATGCAAGTGTTTTAAGATCAAATTCAAAAGGCCATATTTTTAAAAGCAGCCAAAAGAATTCCTTAGTAAGGATAAAGTTGCCATAATTCAGTACAAATTATAACAACTATTTTTATAAACTAAAGAAAACAGCTTAGTTTTCAGGTAGGCAAAAAACGTAGACAATTTTTTCTTCCTCAAACATTGATAATACATTAAATAAAATCCCATAAATAAATCTTTTAAAATGTGTTTCTTTTTACTTTGCAGTAAGAAATGTTTATAGAACCTTCTCTGTGCTATTACAGGAAAACAAGACAAAGTAGTAGGAAAACTGGTAAGCACATTCAAGTCTCTCCAGTACAAAGTTAAATTTAAAAAAGGCAAATAAATCTCAGACCCCTTCATCCCATTACTCCTCCCTAGTACTACCTTATCTCTTTATTGTCGTACTTGTTGGAAGAACAGGCCTTATGGGCAGTGTTCATTTCCTTACATCATATTTATTCCTATTTCTATAACTATCTGGCTTTTGTTTCTAGTACGTTACTGAAACCTCCTTGCTAAATTCAATGATGCCTTAAGGTCAAAACTCTAGAACCTTCTGGCTTCTGCTTGAATTCTACATTCATTTGCATTTTGTTGTTCATAATCTCGATTCTCATAGATTCTTTGCTGTTGCCAGATTGCCTTCTACTTCTTCATGCATTCACTTGCTCATTTTTCATTCTATTCAGCAAATATTTGTATAAGAGATATCCTGCTGTGTGCAGGACATTCTTATAGACACAGGGGCAGAGCTCCTGCTCTCACAGAGCTTACAAACCAGAAAGAAAACTCTTTCTGATATAGTTTTGAGTGTGGCATGTGGCCACACTCTAAAAGGTGAGGAGGCACATAATACTTTGGGAGTGCAAATCAGGGGTCTGAACCTAGTCCCATGAGAGGCATCTGAGCTGAACCAGGTTAAGAGAGTTCCAGAAAGAACAATATGCTTGGAAGCCAAAACAGACCTAGTCATGTTCTAGGAACTGAAATAATTCCAGTGGGGCCAGGGGACGTGGTCAGGGAGAACAAGGTGATGCTGGTGAGAGATAAAACAGGTAGAGTTATGTTTTGCAGAGTTATGTAAATCATGTTAGACAAGACAATATTCAATTCTAAGTGCAATCAACTACATGGCTAAGAAGCAAGAGAATGAATAAATTAGATTGCATTTTTAAAAGATTATTTGGGATGTAGAATGAAAAATGGATAAGAGTAGGGCAGATGGCAGATCTGGGTTGGGCAAAAATGGTGATCTGGGAATACAAAGAAGTGGACCAAATGCAGAAGTATTTCAGAGAAAGAATCCACAGGCCTTAGCTACGGTATTGGACATAGAGACTCAAGAAGAGGGAGGCCACATTCCTCTGACTTTACTTCTCAA